TTGTAACTTTTGTATATCTACTCTACTCACAAATGCCTTCCTACTTCTTAGGGCTCCCAAAATGTAAAAAGCAAGATGGCACTCCCTAAGTCCCTCAGAACTAGAGATTGTTTTACCCAGCAAAAAGTGATTAAATCTGCTGCAAAGTTAGAAACCATGCAGTGAAGTATATCATGTCTCAAGTCATGCTGATACTAAGCAAACAATGACATGTTCAGTCCTCTGTTGTTCTTCCAAAACTGGATTCATTTTTAATCAAAATGAAACCAGAAAGACATGCAGTTACTTTTTCAGCTTTGATAGGAAGTTGGCTCTGATGTGCTACAAATTATCACCTGTTTTCCAATATTATTGCAAATGGCTAAGAAGCTTGTGAAATGGAATATAGTGAGCTGTGAACCATGTTGTGAGTGTTTTAGGCTCATGAATTGCTTTATTTCATCCGTTAACTTTCTGGACAGATGCCCAGTCACCTAGAATCATAGAATCATAAAGCGGGAAGAGACCTTAAAGGCCATCAAGTCCAGCCCCCTGCCCAAGGCAGGACCAATCCCAATTAAATCAGCCCAGCCAGGGCTTTTTAAAACTGAGACTTAAACACCTCAAGGGATGGCGACTTCACTACTTCCCTAGGTAACCCTTTCCAGTGCTTCACCACTCTCCTAGTGAAGTAGTTTTTCCTAATATCCAACCTGGACCTCTCCCACCGCAACATGAGACCATTGTTCCTTGTTCTACCATCCATCACGACTGTGAACAGCCTTTCGCCATGCTCTTTGGAACCTCCCTTCAGGAAGTTGAAGGCTGCTGTTAAATCGCCCCTCAGTCTTCACTTCTGCAGACTAAATAGACCCAAGTCCCTCAGCCTCTCCTCGTAGGTCATATGCTCCAGCCCCCTTATCATTTTGGTTGCCCTCCAATGGACTCTCTCCAATGCATCCACATCCTTCCTGTTATTGGGGGCCCAGAACTGGACACAATACTCCCGATGTGACCTCACCAGAGCCAAGTAAAGAGGAATAATCACATCTCTGGATTGACTTTCAATGCTCATCTTAATGCAACCTAATATGCCATTAGCCTTCTTGGCTACAAGGGCACACTGTTGATTCATGTCCAGCTTCTCATCCATTGTAACCCCCAGGTCCTTTTCTACAGAACTGCTACTTAGCCAGTCGGTCCCCAGCCTGTAACAATGCTTGGGATTCTTCCGTCCCAAGTGCAGGACTCTACACTTGTCCTTGTTGAACCTCATCAGATTTCTTGTGGCCCAATCCTCCAATTTGTCTAAGTCACTCTGGACTCTATCTCTGCCCTCAAGCGTATCTACCTCTCCTCCTAGCTTAGGTGTCATCTGCAAACTTGCTGAGGGTGCAATCCATCCCCTCATCCAGGTCATTAATAAAGATATTGAACAAAACCAGTCCTAGAACCGAACCTTAGGCCACTCCGCTAGAAACTCACCGCCATCCTAACATTGATCACTATCCGCTGGGCCCAACCTTCTAGCCAGCTTTCTATCCATCTTACCGTCCATTTATCCAATCCAGCTTTCTATCCATCTTACCATCCATTTATCCAATCCACGTTCCCTTAACTTGCTGGCAAGAATATTGTGGGAGGCCATATCAAAAGGTTTGCTAAAGTCAAGGCATATCACATCCACTGACTTTCCCATATTCACAGAACCAGTTAGTTCATCAAAGAAGCTAATCAAATTTGTCAGGCACAACTTGGTGTACAAACATTGTACAAACACCTTAGATAACCAGTTGATCACCCTACCCTCGAATCAGGGGTCCACCTTTGTTGCTCATTCCTCTTTGCATTTCTTCCCAGTATCCGACTTCCCCACTCCACTCAGGGTTTTGGTCACTATCCCCCAACGAATGTATTTTAAAGCCCACCTCACTAGGTTTGCAAGCCTGTCTGCGAAGATGCTCCTTCCTCTCTTTGTTAGGTGGATCCCATTTCTTCCTAAAAATCCTTGTGCCCGGAATAGAGTGCCATGGTTGAAGAAACCAAAGCCCTCTCTGTGACACCACTGGCACAACCACACATTTACTTCCTCAATTCAACAAACCCTACCCAGTCCTTTCCCTTCAACAGGGAGGATGGACGAGAACAACACTTGCACTCCAAATTCTTTGATCCTTCTTCCCAACTCTACGTAATCCTCAGTAACCCGCTGAAGGTCATTCTTGGCCGTATCGTTAGTTCCCACATGGAGAAGCAGGAAGGGATAGCGATCTGAAGGTTTGATCAGTTTGGTAAGCCTCTTAGTCACATCCTGAATTCTTGCTTCCGGTAAGCAGCACACCTCTTGAGATTCCAGGTTTGGACAGCAGATGGATGGCTCAGTCCCTCTTAGGAGGGAGTCCACAACCACCACCACCCGCCTTCTTCTTTTGGGGGTGGTGGTAGTGGAACGCCCATCCCTAGGACTATGCATCCCATGCCTTCCAGCTGAAGTGGTTCCCTTCTGATTTCTTTCTTGTGAGGTCCCTTCCAAAGCATTCTCCATCTCAGAGCCTGAGGAGAGAGCCTGAAAGTGATTACTTACCTCTGTAGGAATGGGGGATTCCCATGCTTGCTTTTTTTTCCTTCTAGAAGTTACATGCTTCCAGTTCTCTTCCTCATGCTGTACTGCCCTCTCTGAACCTTCTGTCTGCCTTGCTGGCAGGATTAAATGTTGCCTTCTATCGAGGAAGTCTTCATCCTCTCTGATCGACTGTAGGGTCAACACTTGGGCCTCCGGTCCTCTAAATCTTTCCTCTAAAATGGAGACCAGCTTGCACTTAGTGCAGATGAAATCCCTTCTTTCTTCCAGGAGAAAGACAAACATGGCACATGCTGTGCAGGTAACAACAGCAGACCTATCACTATCCACACCCGCTGTCCTAAAAAGGCTTTAAAGGAAAGGCAAGAGAATCTCGCCCCCTTCCTTCTCCTCTTCCAAACTCCCTCTCTAAACTCCCTGTTTGCAATCACCTGTTCCCAAGCTCCTTGGTCTCTGAATCACTCCTTTATAAAGCCCTGGACTGCCTGATAGCCCCTCCCCCTACCAAGGCTCAGCCAATCAGCAGAGCCTTCTAGATTTCAAACTTTAATTAAAAGCCAACAATTTCCAGCTGCCAGTTATAGCACACACTCCATGGGTGTGGGGGAGGAGGAGGAAAGGTGGGGGGAAACCCACACCACACTCACAAACACAAACTCAGCACACAGCAAGACAGCCCCAGACAAACACAACACATACTACAGACAGGCACTTCCCTCAAGAGTCCAGTATTCACTTCTCCCTTACCTAGAGAACTCCCTCTCTAAAATCTCTGTTTGCAATCACCTGCTAACCTCTAATTTAGTGTGCTACAGTGCTATATGTAGTAATTAAATAAATCTTTTCCCCATATGCTTCTAAAAAGCTTGAAAAACAGAGGAGGGGGAAATGAAAAAATGTATAGACCTAGTTATGCATTACTCATAAAAGTGATTAGCCACATTGGGCACATTTCCCATCTTATTTTAAAAAATCAAGGGAAAGGTGACATAACCTACAGAAATAAACAAACAACCAAAGCCTTTTAAAATATAAGTAAAATTTACAACAAATCTATCTGCAACCATCTATTTGCATGAATAAAGAGAGTGTTACATCTGTAGGTATGTAATGTGACCATCTCTATAACTAGCCAATTAGCCCATCATAAGATGGGATTTTCAGGTCTCTCCTCCACGTTGGTTTTTTCTCCTGAGCCTCCGGTCTCTCGCTCCGTCTCTCTCTCTCTCTCTCTCTTCCTCCTACTTTTCCCCCCTCTATCTCTCAAATCTCCTCTGCCTTCTGCCTCCTGGCTCTCTCTCATTCTCTCTCTTTCTCTTCTCCCTCTCCTGCCTCTCACTCTCTCGCCACTCTCCTCTGTCTCTATCGGGGATGAACGCTCGTCCTGGCCCTGCCCCCTGGGAGTGTACATCACCATCCCACCCCCCTTTGCCTCTCGCCGTGGCACTCGCCAGACTTCTGCACCGCTCAGGTGGGCCGCCGTGTGGGAGCAAGCAGCACAAATGGCCTCTCTCTCTCTTCTCCTCCTACTGCCTCGCCCTTTCTCTCTCTCAGCTCTTTTCCACCTCCTGCCTCTCTCTCCTTCTCTCTCTCTTTCTCTTCTCCTCCTCCCGCCTCTCACTCTGTGTTTCTCTTCTCCTCCTCCTGTTGCAACTCTCTCACTTTCTCTCTCGCTGTCCTCCACCTTCTCCATTCTCCTCTGTTTCCTCCGCATCCGCTCCGCTTTCCTCCTTTTGAATCTGGTGCCCTTTCCTGACGTCAGAGACGCACGCTCGTCCAGGCCCCACCCCCTGGCTGTTCCCTCTGGGTGGCGCAGTTGCCTCCCATCGTGGCACTCTGCTGACTTCTGCGCCATTCAGCTAGGCCACCGCGCAGGAGCAAGTGGCACAAGCAGCTGTTTGGGGTCCATGCTCCCCATGCAGCATGGGGGTGCTGCATGGGGAGTGCAGGGCCCAAATGGCCACTTGTGCCGCTTGCTCCCATGTGGTGGCCTGGCTGAGCAGCGCAGAAGTCAGCCGAGCGCCATGGCAGGAGGCAACAGCACTGCCCAGAGGGAACAGACAGCTTTTCAGTGTTACAGAATCACAGACATTGGGCTACTATATCTCTATAATAAGCCTCCAAATACAGAAGAAAATAGTTTTAATTCTTGGTTTCATGTCATATAGTCATAGCATCTCCAATTGATTTAACTGCCTTTTGAATATCACATATAAAAAAAATATTGAAATAAACCCAAACCTCAACTAGAGCTGGTTAGCAAAAGGCTGAACATTTTTCATGTATTTTTTCTTCTATTTTGAATAAAACTGTTTGAGTAATTTAATCAATTATGAAATTAAAAATTTTGCACCCATCTATAGTTCTACTCTGCCCATGGCATCCTCTGGGTGTATGAAATAAAATTAGGTTGATCTTAGACAATAATAATAGTTCATACCATATCCTGCTGTGGAAAGTCCCAAGTGCTTCATTCTGTTCTTCACAAGCTCAGCAAGTTCCTGTCTTTCTGACCTCTTGTAAAGGCTCATACGCTGCTGACTTATTTTCTCCGCTGTTTTGCCAGAGTGCTTTGGCACTTTTCTGCTCAGCCGTCGGGCCCATTGCATGCTCTTCCGTCTCAACAAAGGGTGATCTGACTGATCACTGGATGTGGAGTTGCGATGGCTATTGCGGTTATTTGTTTGTTCTTTGGTATCTTTAGTGTCTTCCCATTCTTCGACACTGATAGAGATTTGAGACTTCAAAACAAAAATCACATAAGAAATTAGGGGATTCGGGAAATAAATCTGTCAAAACAATCACAAGAAACCTTTCTCTTCTCTCCGTTTTTTGGCTCCAATTCAGCAATGCAAGTCAGCACATGTTTAAGTCACAATCAGGTCAATAGAGTGAAAGAATGACCTGCTTAACTGGCAACCTTTGTCTCTAAATGTTCTTGGAACAATATTAAGTAAACTCTTTGTGGCATGATATAAATATGATCCTACATGTCCTACCAGTGAGAGAAGATAAGCATTCCTTAGTGCTTCTTGTCATTCTGTGTCTAAACATAAAGCTTCTATGCCAAATTCTAACAAGAACTCAATGTCATTCTATTTCTTAGAATTTAGAAATAAAACTATTTGAACTCAAGAATGTCAATCATTTTAGCCTTACAAACAGAAGATTAAGGGGTGACTTGATTATTCTCTGTAAGTATGAGGACAAATGTTTAATAATAATCTGCTCACTCTAGCAGACAAAGGTGTAACATAATCCAATGACTGAAAGCTGTTGTTATATTTCAGAATAAGGGAATAAGGCATTTTTTTAAAATGTGAATGTAATTAGCCGGTAGGACAATTTACCCAAGATCCTGGTGGATTTTTCATCACTGATCATTTAAAAATAATTAATGGATGTTTTTCTAAAAGACCCCTCCTAGAATAATCCTCTCACCTATATCTCAGATATTGAATCCTTCAAATACTTTGAAGACCCCAAGATGCAGAGAATCCTTTAGCTGTGATCAGTTCCCCATGCTACAGAGGAAGGCGAAAAACCTCCAGGGCCTCTGCCAATCTACCCTGGAGGAAAATTCCTTCCCGACCCCAAATATGGCGATCAGCTAAACCCTGAGCATGTGGGCAAGACTCATCAGCCAGACACCCAGAAAGTTCTCTATAGTAACTCCTATCATCCCTCTATTGACCTATTTCCCACTGATAATAAATGGTCAATTAGATACCAAGATCATGTTATCTCATCAAACCATCCCCTTCATAAACCCATCTAGTTTAATCTTGAAACCAGATAGATCTTTTGCCCCCACTACTTCCCTTGGAAGGCCGTTCCAGAACTTCACTCCTCTAATGGTTAGAAACCTTCGTCTAATCTCAAGTCTAAACTTCCTACTAGCCAGCTTATATCCATTTGTTCTTGTGTCCACATTGGTATTAAACTTAAATAATTCCTCTCCCTCCCTGGTATTTATCCCTCTAATATATTTAAAAAGTGCAATCATATACCCCCCTCAGCCTTCTTTTGGTTAAAGTAAACAAGCCAAGCTCCTTGAGTCTCCTTTCATAAGACAGGTTTTCCATTCCTCGGATCATCCTAGTGGCCCTTCTTTGTACCTGTTCCAGTTTGAATTCATCCTTCTTAAACATAGGAGACCAGAACTGCACACAGTATTCCAAATGGGGTCTCACCAATGCCTTGTATAATGGGACTAACACCTCCTTATCCCCACTGGAAATACCTCGCCTAATACATCCCAAGATCGTATTAGCCTTTTTCATGGCCATGTCACAATGGCGGCTCATAGTCATCCTATAATCAACCAGGACTCCTTGGTCCTTCACTGCAGGAGGAGTAATGGTAGTCCAAATTAGGGGCTTTAGTTTGAACTACCTAGCCCATGCCGCGTGTAGCCGTGGGCAGGGAGTCCAAACTACTGAGCATTTAAAAATGGCGGCGCCTGGGAACATGCAAATAAAGCCTGGGATATTTTAATCCTGGGTTTCATTTGCAAGTTTCAATAACTACATTAGCCACCCTAGTTTGAACTAGGGTGGCTAGTGTAGACATACCCTGAGAGTATGTCTGCACTACAGCATTATTTTGAAATATCTGAATTTGAAATAGTTAATTCAAAATAAGTTATTTCGAAATAATGTGTCTACACACAAAATGCATTTTGAAAGAGCGTTTTGCTATTTTGAAATAGCTTCTCCACACTGAGTGAGCACTGAATCGCATTTAAGGCCAGCCGGAACCAGGTCCTGCAGGGCATCCAATCAGGAGTTACTTTCTGTGACTCCTGCCTGAGGCTACCTGTGGCCTGTGCTTTAAGGGACCCCCCACCCCGGACAGCCAGTTCTCAGCTTTCCCTGCTTGCTTGCCTACCTCTATGAGGGACAGCAAAGCATTTTGTCTCTGTGTGCACTAGTTGCCCTCACTCGGGATACCACAGCACTCTGCAACATTGAGCCAGAGCTGCCCCTGGGCACTATGGTGCTTTTCTTGGACACGTTGCTGTGAGCCTGGCTGCACTTTTTGCAGGCTGCCATCCAGGAGGTCCATCGGGGGGCTGTCAGTATCCAGGAGGCCCTGTGGGTGAGCTACAACCCTGAGGAGCACTAAGAGCCTCCCTGGTCTGCCACACTGGGGGCTTGTGCCTCATTCCTCCCTCACGTCCTTCAACTTACCTCTCCCTAACCCTCTTTCCTGATGTCAAATAAAATACACGTATTTTCATGAACACAAACTCTATTTAACAAAACTGGAGGGAGGGAATAAAACTCTGGTGAGACTGGGGAAAGGAGGCAGGAGAGGGGAGAAGAGAGGGTGGGAGAGGGGAGCAGGTAACCTGGGAGGAGGGAGCTGGAAGGGGGAAGCAAGGGGAAGAAAGGAGAGGGGAAGCTCAGGGCTCAGGGGTGGGGGGTCTCACCAGACCAACTTTATTTTCATGTGAATCTGCACCTGGGTTTGCATGTGGCCTTTGGTGGCCAGGCTGGCAGCTATTCTGCCATAGACGGCCACATTCCCCCATCTAGTGCAGAGATCATGGATGTTGGAGGCATCCTGAATAAGATCCATGATCTCCACCATGGACCAATAAGGCACCTGCCTTCTCTGGGCCATGGCAGGCTCCTGGGAGCTGGCAGACTGCTTCTGGGGAGCGGAGGAGGGCTGGCTTCCAGTGGCTTGCTGGCTCATGTTTTGGGCCCACTTGGGGGGTTCGGGCTGTCAAGTTGGAAAAACTTATTTTGGAAAGAGAGACAAATTTTCAAACTTATACTTCATATAATTTTACAAAGTTTATGGAAATGCTTGTTCATTTGTGTTGAAGACTGTTACAATATTAAATTACAGGACAGCCATTGTACATGTTAAGAGAAATGACACTGGTCTGAGACTCTCAACTGCTCCGAACTACTCTAGCATGCCAATTTCACACATAGATTCTAAGTTCTCTTTGTGTTCTTTTCATAACTGTTTAGAGTTTCTTTCATTAGGGTCAACACTGGGAAATGGGAGACAAATAACAAATACTTACTTGTGAAGCTATTTCTCGTGACTGACAAAGGGAAGGAAAAAAGAAAACAAACACAGTTTAAACAACAGTGAACAAACAGGAACAAACACGGACCATTTAACATCAGTCACAGATAATAAATATGGGCTGATGCTTGCTTTATTATGAATGGAATTTTGAACTAAATTAAAGTTCTGTCATCATTAAATGACTGTACACACATTGTGCTTATTAATCTGATTTACGGGAAATGTATCTGCTGAAACTATCAATATATCTTGCATTAATTCATAATAATTGTAATAACCAAGAAGTAAAATGAAGTACAGCCTACAGTGCAGATAAAAGGTTGCAGGGAGAAGTAGTATTCAGTGAACTACTTACATTCATTTTTCATGATTACTGGTAGCAATCATTACCTCAGGTTTATCAAAAGTTATTGTTACTATCTCATACAGACAACAGCTGAATAAATATATGTGTTTTGCTCCTTCCTGGGTAATGTCATTATATCACCACATCACTTTTCTCTTTAGAAAAATGTGGTGCAGGTCAATTTAGCAAAGAACTTAATTTTTCATTCAAAGAATTAATGGAAATATTTTTTTCTAAATACAAGAATATTACATGACAATCTGAACAATTGAACTGAAAATCACCTTTAAAATCATTAAGCTCAAGACAGGACCCAGCTGCACTCGAGATATTTGGGGCTCCAGGAAATGTTGTAACACATAATGCTTGTTTTATGACAAGGACATAATGGCTACGTCTACATTGCACATTCTTGTGCAAGAAGATATGCAAATGAGGCACAACAATGAATATCGCCATGCCTCATTTGCATACCTAATGAGCCACCATTTTGTGCAAGGGGCTTTTGTTCAAGAAGGAGCAGTTTACACTGCTCCTTCCTGTGCAAAAACCTCCCTTTTGTGCAATAGCTGTTCTACCTGAAAATAAGCAGCAGAACGGCAAAAGCCTTGTTCAAAAGCCCCTTGTGCAAAAATGGTGGCTCATTAGGTATGCAAATGAGTCATGGTGATATTCATTGCTGTGCCTCATTTTCATATCTTCTAATGCAAGAATGCTCAGTGTAGACGTATCCAATATGTATGTCGGCAGTCTGAATGAAGGAGACATTGATCATATAAAAATGGTATCTGAGGATTACTTCAGACTAATTTATAAATATTGATCTGTAATTAGTGTTTGTTAGTAGACTCAGAAATTCTCTTTAATTGTAGAATTATGTTTTATAACTATGTAGTTTTAGAATAATATTCCCTGTTCACTATTTTATCATACATATTTTTATCTATGAAGAATTGTTCATTTCTTTTCCAACAGATATAATCATGATCTGCAGATGGAATTTAACAATTACTAACTTTTCTATCAATTAAACACTTTTTGGGACAACAACAGTAGAAACATAGGGGAAGGAAGAATGGGGAAGAGTAAAAGGGAAAGATTAGAGCAAATAATGTTCTGTACATCCATATAGTATGTGTTAACCTTGAATTTATCAAAAGCTATTATTCCCGTCTCTTACAGAGAATAGTTGTATAAATATGTGCGTTTAGCTTCTTTCTAGATAATGTCATTATATCACCAAATGCCTTTTGGGGTGTGGGTTTCCTTACAGTGAAACAACAGTGGCATGCATAAACATATTTAATAATAAGATGTTTATTTCCCAACTGCCTCTTTCTTACACAGGTGCTGCTTCCTAGCTAGATAATAGGAAAAGATTCAGCTTTTTATTTGTTTGATTTCACATGCAGTTTTGAAAGCATATATGCTGACACTGAATTTTTCACAATAGTCTTGGTGTTCAGGCTACACCATTATTGCTCTCAATAATAAGTTACTATTACAATCTTACTGTTTTTCATTGATTGTTCTATGTTTCTTATCAATAAACTAGGCAAATACAACTTAGAAGGGGCTACTATAAGGCAGGTGCATAACTGGCTAGATAACAGTTCT